CAAGGCATGCGTACACAATGTTAAAGTCCTATGTACGAGGGGCGTTTCGGGGGGAGGGGGGTCAATTTTTAGACAAATTTTTGCGTACGTACTTATTGAATGAGCCCTTATTAGGAATATTTCTAAATATGAAAAGATTTTACTCTGCGTGATATTTTTGATTGAATACTGAACAAGTTTTATTCAAGCAACTTTAACATTTGTTCAGGGTTAAACCATTTTCATGTTTTGCATAAATATACCGTAGTTTGTATATTTTAAAAATTTAACTGAGATAGCTTAAATATATAATTGTGCTCCTTTTCTAATATATCAGGCATACTCACGCATCATAGCGTCAATAGTGTTGGTGCCATTAAACTTGCGATCCCGGTGCTCAAGTGCCTTCCCTATGGGGTACGTCAGTTCACTAGCATTAAGCGCCGTTAGCATAGTCTCGGCCGACGCGTACGACTGGAACCCGTACTCGGAGGCAAACTTGCCGTCACCCCATACATGCCAGTCCCACACCGGCTTAAAAAACTCGTAGTTATGGTAATCGCCGTAATGATAGTCACCGCCATTCTTAGGCACCCAGTCCTCCAACTGGTCGGCCTCACCATTGGAAGGACTGGACGACACGTAGTACCGACTGTTGTCCTCCTGGAGTACTATACGTCGGATATGATTGATGTATAGCTCGATGTAGTCTTTCTTATGTATGTCATAATCGGGATTCATATTAACGTATACTATGTTCTCGTTGTTACCTGCAATTTATAAATGAAGCATGGTTATCAGATGTAATTTATGGCTTATAAACTATACCATAAAAAGGTTGTACGGATTATTACTAAAAGTTATATTTTTTTGGTTCAATTATTATTACAAATATATTAATTATAATTTATAAAAAGTTTTATATCATATCGGAGTCTACATTATATAAGTTGTAAGCATTTATATTAAAGTACTAAACATTTCAAGATATTCGTAGGCATGTTTGCTTGGTGCTAAAAATTTCTAACATTTAATTGGCCAGAATTATGACATACCAGACCAGATTGCGATGGACGGGTGGTGTTGCAAACGGCGTGTCTGTTGAGTGACCTCCATGTCCACTGTGGCCAAGAAGTCCTTATCCGATGGGTATTGACTGCACGAAAACATGAAGTCCTGCCAAATCATAATCCCGTACTCATCGGCCAACTCGTAAAAGTAGTCCGACTCATACACCCCTCCACCCCATACTCTTATCATATTCATGTTGGCATCCCTTACGGACTCCATCATGTGTTTCAAATAATCTCTGGTCAGGTCCTCCTGAGGATATACACACAAAAACATTTAACAATTTATTTTCTTACATGAATTTAAACAACTTAAAATGTATTATATTTAGTAAAATGAAACTT